GATTGGGTCGATGAGAAGAAGACGGGTGAAGGGATTTACACGTGGCCTAGTGGTGCACGATACGAGAAGTCGCGTTCTCAAACGTCAATTCATCATCAATGGTGGTACTCAATGAGCTGACTGGCATAGGTGATGTGACAAGAGGATAAGTCTTGGGTCAATGGCAGAATGACAGGATGACAGGCCAAGGGATTCATACATGGCCCAGTGGTGACAGATACGAGAAGACGCGTGCTTAAACGTCACTTCATCGTCAAGAGTGACAGTGGATTAACCGAGTAACATGGTTCATGTGATCAATGAATAAATCTTGGGGCAATTCAAAGACAGTAATCAACACGGGAGGGGTAAAATGCGCTGTGCTAATGGTCAAGTAAAAGATGGAATGTGGTCAAATGGTGATTATATTGGCTAACACTCACTTATACCTATATTACATATAACATGTACGTTCACCTTGATAACTTGTTTTTCTTTTGAAACAAAATAAAATTTAGATCTATGCAAGAGAACATTGAGAGAATGTTTAAGAAACTGACTAGTTAGCAACTTTGTTCAAATTAATATGAACTGTATATTTTTGACTAAATGAAAAATCGAAGGTGAAAATGTAAGATTTTTATGAGTTATATACGCTTAAACTAGCTTTTGGAATTGCTGGGATAGCTGTTGAGAATCTGACGGTGTTGCTTGATGAAACGAATAATTTTCAAGCTATAAACAAGATTGGAATAACCTTGACAGTAGCAGCTGATGCCCACGATAATGTTGAATTCTGTAGAATTTACTGAAAGTGTTATATTTTAGAATAGTTGGATAAACTAGCACATATCTGTGACATTGAAGCAAAATGCGATAAATGCAGTTGTAAGAAGAATAGCTGCAAACATCATTTCATATGTAGCTAGTTATGAATGGAGGAAAAGTGTATTTTAATATTGTGTGATATTTGAAAACAGCAATAATTTTACATTGCATTGAAATCTGTTCAATGAACTATATGAAGTAATTGATTTTGTCTACTGAAACAACAATGATCAGATAAGAAGAGAGATGTTTCACTACATCTGGTAACAAAATCATGCTATATCATAGTCATTGAATAATGTAGGCAATGTCTAAATTACAATAGCAATTTAATTAATTGATTTCTAGATATAGCAGCTTATTCTTTAATTAAAACTGTTTACCATGATTGTAATATGCATAAGATCAGTTTATTGTATTGATGTTTGATGTATTCGGAACTAAATTAAAGAACTGCAAAGATCAAACGATAACTGACAATATAAATAAATCATAGAACAGGTTAGTTAATGGTATAAAACTATTTTATTATTTATGTTTGCTTTCGTTTTAAAATGAATCAGTTTTTTACTGTATTTAATAGTTTTACCATTGCACAATATTAAAATATCTCTACTCATGTGGGAATTTAATTTCGAGAACATATCGTTATAATTATCATTTGTATAATATCATAGTCATTCGCTCTATTCATATCATTATGCACCCTTTGGATCCGTATCAACCAACATTTTCATTCCATAATTGATTCGATCTTTTGATCACATTTCTTATAACGTCAATCGAACTATATTTTTCTGAATATAAAGGAATGATTATTATTTATCATAGCTAATGATTTAAAAAATAGATACAAAATAACTCTAAAAAGGCGAGGGTTTGTTTTTCAACATGAGAACAAATTGATGATTGAAATGGAGCTTCTGAACCCTTGATATGATTGTATTATAGTGGCAGCAAAATTAAATTTTTGTTTTCATGAAGATACAGTATGTCTGTTGGAAAGGACATTCGTTCTTAGTGGCATGAACTTCCCCTTTCTTCCTGATTTGTGCGAAAAAAACTTTTGAGGGTGTTGTTGTGGGTGTAACTATGTGTGGGTACGGATGAATGTATGAGTAGAATACAAATACACCAATTCACATCCTCAAATAATTTTTCTAACATATCTAAATCTTCTTTCGTTATAAAATAACTGTATATTTGTGTAAATTTCTTCCTAAAGATATCTTTTATATTTTTAATTATTATGATAAAGAAGAAATGAAAGCATAACGACACAATATAACATCGATTTCGTGACGATTTTTCGAATGAAATATTTGAATTTGTATTGATTTCTGCCATATCTATGATACTTTTGCTAATCTACAACCTCGTATTGATTCATATTGTCCATCAGTATTGATGTATCATTGATATCGAAGATAAATTTTCAATATCATTACACAACCACTTAGTATGTATGTGAATATATGAGTTTTTTTATTTGGCATAAGCAGAGAGGTGAATATAAAAGAGATAGAAAATAACGAAGAAACATATAGATATGAACGTGTATGGATACGAAAAAAACAAAGAAAAGGAAAGTCATACATATGCATTAAAAAACTATATGATGGTAAATGTCTAATAAATCATCATCAAACATCGATGTTGGCTCAACTCTTGATAATAATTCATTTAAATTTTGTGTGAGCATACCATCACCAATTGCATGATGTATATGTGATTGGTGTTTCACATTATGTGCTACTTGAGTAAGAAACTCACTATTATACGGTGAATTTGTAGCACTTGAATAGATATATGCTTGAATATTATGTGATGTTATATCATCCAGGTCGAACAATCCGGCTCGGAAGCAGCCGGTTCCATGGTATTCAGCAGATTTCATGGAATATTGCTTTAAGAATCATCGACCTAGGCAAAAACATAAATTCCTAATAATAATGAATGACGTCGAATGCATTCCACTTGATGTTCTTGACCACCAAATTGATAAACAGCAAAAATATGAGGACTACGCGAACGATCATATATTACTGTGCAATCCATTATATAATCGTTTGGATTGTCATTATCCCAGGGTCTTTTATTTGTACCATGTGGTGTTTTTGGTTTTATATTAAACTCAATTAAATTCATTTTAATTGAATTAATAAATAAATAAAAATGATCAAATGGAGCTGTTCGATTTCCATTTGCAGTAATTGACGAATCTTCACGTATTCGATCAATTTCGTTTTTTAATTTGATACATTGGTTATCATTTAATCCTCGAATTAAGTAAAATTTTTTGAAAACTGATTTTTTATCCAATCTTTAAACTTTCTTGAATATTGCCATTAAAAAATGCATGAGCATCAATTATCGAGCATGTATCTGATGCAATAAAGTCACTTGATTCAATATGACAAATGAAAACTGTATTTTCTAGTTCAATAACTGTTGACATGCAGGTTGCAATGCCTGATGTAGACAAAACAACTGGATTAATATTAGAATTGCCATTTTGTACATTTCTAAATTTATCCATGATATCTTATCGTTTCGAAAGAAAGTAAAATTTGTTCATAGATATTATACATTTCGATACAAATAGACTTCAATTTTCACTTTTAACTTATATTTTAAGCACATTTTTCTTTATTTTCCTGCACTCGTATATATATATACTTGATGTTCATAATGTTTGTTTGACTCTGAAGATGACTAATGAACCTGCTCGAAATGTCAGAGACATATTTTAATAAAATAAAATTAAGATAATAAAAATAATGTTGTATTTTATCTTTAGGTTAATTAACTATATTGTTAACAAACCTGAATTTAAGAAATATTAATCTTAATCAACTATAATGTAACAAAATATACCGATGAAGATATTTATATGAATGCATACATATATTAATAATTGAAATGTATTTGAAAAAACAATAAAACAAAGACAAGTTTATTTTACTATTTCATTTCATTCTATAGCTCCATACATCTAAGAATTGAACTACTTGAATATTTAGTATCTCTGTCTATTATTAATCACCATCAGAACTTGCGATCTTACATATGAACCATTAAGAATAATATTGGAGTGTATCCTCTAATCAAAATAATAAGATACATTCGTTTCACTTTGATAATCATGAGTATAGCGATAACATAAACATTTCATATAATACAAGTTTCATTCTTGTATCTAAAGAAACATTAAGAAAGCACATTTATTACTTTTCAAAGATAGAACCGACAATTAATTATTTTGGCCCGCATATCCCCACCTGTCCAATACTGTTGTTTTTCTTAATTGGGATCCATGCGGATCCCAGAACAACTTTGAGTAACAGAGACAGCAAAACTTCTATCAGGTTGTAGGAGAAAACGTGAGAAATATATATAAAACCTCGCTACAGACAAAATTAAAAAGAAAGAATGTTTTTTTGTATCATTTTCTCATGGTCTTTATTTCTTTGTTTTTCTTATCTTCAGGAAACTATGCATTTTCGGATGACACAAAACATTCCAGGATATTGTGATACTATAATACAAAAATCAAGTCCGTTCTCTTTCGAATGTTCATTATATAACACAAAAATCATCTACAATATTTAATACAGATCAATGAGTCTATCAGAGACTAAATTTAGGCGATATCTCACCAATAATATATGTGTAGTTAGCTCTACTTTCCAAGCGCCATTTCAACCCCAACCGATGAAGGCAATTGCATAGATATTTCGGCCTATGTCACAGTATCGCCGATGTTCACATCTAAGATGCCGATATCATCAATAAGTTAGACTAATATTCTTCGATGCATACCTAAGAGCGCTGGAATGGACCCACGACCACGTGAGATCTGGGTAAAATACAGGTGTTCTGGGATTCGCTCGAACTCCGGGGATTTGAAGGTTAAATCTTTATAACTCTAAGATCTTTTATGCTTCTCTTTGACTTTTCATTTAATAAAACATATACAGTTCATATTAATTTGTACACATTTCCTGACTATTAAGTTTCTTAAACACTCTTCCGGTGTTCTCTTTCAAGGTGTTGAATTTTATTTTGTTTCGAATAGAAAAAAAGGTACCACGATGAACGTGTATATTATATATAATACAGCCATAACTGCGTGTTAGCCAATAAAATCACCATTCGACCACATTCCATCTTTTACTCGACCATTAGCATAACGCATTTTACCGCTTCCATTCTTCTTTCCATCCTTCCATTGTCCCAGGATGTATTCACTGACCACATGAACTATGTTAGTCATTTGATTAATTATCACCATCGATGATGAGGTGACATTAATGAATATCTCTTCTCGTATCGCTGACCATCAGGCTCTGTGAGAGTCCCTCGACCTGTTTTATTGCCATCGACCCAATCACCTGTATATTTATTCCCATTGGCGTAGTATTTAGTACCTTTTCCATGTCTATTGTCATCTTTGAATTGTCCC